TGGCCCAGCTAACCAATCACAGCACACACTGGCCCAGCTAACCAATCACAGCACATTTCGTATTTCAGAAGGCGGGCCTTCATTTGATACAGGAACTATTAGAGCCGTTCATGCCAGACTGGGGAGAGAGGTGTTGTAATAATGTAAAATATGTGAAAAATAATGTGTTTTTTGAACAACCTAGTATGAGAGCCTGTTCTAGTACACCCCCAAAACAAAATCAAGACTTTGTAAAAGAGCATAATAGGACCCCTTTAAACCATGCATGATGGTAATGAAATGTGATGGTCATGGGATTTTTGTTAAATAAAATAAAACATGAATTATTTCTGAATGATCTCAAATAAAACTGGTTTAGTAATGGCACCCAATAAAGCTGGATTTAGACCATGATGAAAAAATATTAATTACACATTCTGATCTTAAACAAATTTTAAGCAAATATAAACAAATAAAATAAACATTTTTGGAAAAAGAAAATGCACTGGATTTTCTCTAAAATGTTCATTGTCATAGTAAAAAAAAAATATTAATTGCAATTGCAAATAAACATGAAATCAATTGAAAATATTTAAATAGTTCTCTGATATTAACATTTATTTACATGAATTTAACACTATTTTATATTTAATTGTTAAAATATTATAGAGGGGAAGTTTAAAAATCTGAATGGGGAAGAAAAGTCAAAACAGAGAAATTTTGGCAAATGCAAGATTTCATCCCTCTTAACTAATAGAAAACACTTAGTGAGCTAAATATTTACCTAGCAAGTAGCAACCACCCAGAACACCCTAGCAACCAGATGTGCCAAAAACTTGTTAACAATGACTTTTTGTGACACTCATTGTCAGCTGACACACAACTGAATTTCAGTTACATCTTAAAGAACAGAACCAAATCTCTCTCTGCTTACTGCAAAGCAGTGAAGCATGTGTACACACATTCCTGCGGGGATTTGAGGGTCTCCGGTGAGACTTACCCATAATCCCCTGGGACACAGTGGCACAAACACTGACAACAGATGCGTTTAACAACTTGCTCAACTAAAACTGACATCCAAACACTCGGTAAGAAGTAATTCTGTTCTTCATTCACCGTCTTCTTCAACCAAATGACATCACTGTTTTGTCTTCATTGCCTTAAATCCTTTTATTTGAACTTATGAGTTTCTGTGTGAACTCACACTTAAGTGGGAATAATTTCTCAAACAGTCGATCAAGACGCGCAGCACCACACTGCTACAACATTCCAGAGTCCTGAACTCAACATTAACACTCATCACACAGACACGCTAAAAATCATCAACATGCACAAACACACCGACTTCAGCGGTGGACTGAAACTTTTAAAGGTGCCATAGAATGCATTGATACAATATTTACATAGAAGGTATGTGGCTTAGGTAAGGTCAAAAAATCTCCAGAAACGGTTTTACATGTCCATTTACAACCCTAGGATTTGTCCCTAGAATGAAATGGTCTGTTTTTACCTTATTTGGAAGGGTCATGAATAATAATGTTGCCCTCTGCTCTGATTGGCTGTTTCACAGTGCAGCTCATTTCAGTAGCTCACACAGCAGGAAGGAAACACAGGGAAAATATATATTTCAATACTGTCTCTCGCAGTTATATCGTTGGGTAATTATACTGTATATAAAATGCGGGCATCAGGGAGCCGCTATTAATATGCGGGGCATTAAAACTACTTGCGAATGCACGATCGCTTTTGCGATCGCACGCGCTCTGTGTAAACTACAGCGGCAGTACTTACTTACCACACATTTTACAAGATCAGATGCTTGTCAGTGGTGCTCAGGATCTGTAAATCATTCGCCATCATCCTCAGTCATCTCTCCTTACTCTGTTTATGTGGTAAGTTCAATCTTATGTACTGTAATGTAACAGGCTACTGCTAGCAAGCAGCTAACCATGTCCCTTTAGTGGTTCGCGTTATTTTATTAGAACGCGTTATTTGCTTTCCGTGCCTTTCTGAATACAGACACCAACCCATCCCTGCACTTCACATCCCCTGCACAGCCTGGAACATAACATTTATTTCCATGATCTGCCATTTTCGCTGTTGTCCTCGCTTGTTTCTTCACAATATCTGCAGAACTTCTGATGATTCGGCTGTGCAGGTCCGGCTGGCGGCTGGCATAGAACATGGGCGGGTATATGCAAATGTCGGGGGCGTAACTATTAGTGATCCCAACTGTAAAGTCACAGTCGGTGACACAATTGTCTTCTACATTGATAATAATCCAAATGTTTCTTGAGCAGCAAATCATATTAGAATGATTTCTGAAGCATCATGTGACACTGAAGACTGGAGTAATGATGCTAAAAATTCAGCTTTGCGTCACAGGAATAAATTACATCCCAAAATATAATAAAATAGAAAACAGTTATTTTAAATTGCAAAAATATTTCACAATTTGAATGCTTTCACTGTATTTTCTGATCAAATAAATGCAGCCTTGGTGAGCAGAAGAGACTTCTTTGAAAAACATTTAAAAAATCTTACAGACCCCAAACTTTTGAACGATAATGTACACATTAAATGCTGAAGTGCAACTAAAATATGAAATGTAGAAGTAGAAGTTAATTAAGAGGAAACACCTGTCATTAGTTACCTGATCTCGGCTGTAGGTCAGTCAGGTGAAGAGCATCAAGAGGCCTGAAAACAGGAAGGAAGTGAGATGATCAGAAATGTGTTTACTTCAGTTTAGTCACACACACAAATCACAGATTAATCACAGCAACAGTCCAGCACATCTCTGATTCCCACACTGATCACTCATCCTGCTGCATCTGTGATCATTCAGTTGGACTGTCACACTCGTATTCACTCACGTCAGTCTGTCAAACACATCAGCTCCTGTCACTGAGGCACAAGATCCCATTTCTTCATTACATGGACTGATAAATACAGCATCACTCCATCACGTCCTCAAAACTCTTTTATTTTCTCATTGAGTAAATATTGAAGTGTATTATCAAAAGATTCCATATTTATATTTGGTTTTGTTTTATTTTTATATTTATATTCCTTCTTTATATATTGTCCTTAGTTCACAGTAGTGCTCAATTTCATTAGCAGATGTAAAAATCTACAAATTTCAGTCTTAACCAAACTATGACTATAATTTTTTGGAAGAAGAAAACAGGCTGGATTTTTTTCTAAAATGTTTGTTGTTAAAGTAATGATTCTTAAAACAACATAAATATAAACTTAACTGAAAATATAAAAAATTACATATATTTCAATATTACACAATTTAATTTACATGAATTCAATATTTATTTTAATTTTTTTAATATTATACAGGGGATGTTTAAAGGTCTGGGTGCAGAAGAAAGAAACATATAAACCTATAATATATAACATTTGTTTACAATATTTCAAATGAATAAATAAATGTAAATAATCAATAATACATGTATACATATGTACATATTAGTGCTATCAAGCGATTAATCGCAACCAAAATAAAAGTGTTTGTTTACAAAATATATGTGTGTGTACTGTATATTTATGATGTACTGTAAATATATAAATACACAAACATACATGTATATTTAAAAAAAAATACATATATATATATATATATATATATAATTTAAAAAAAAAAAAAATAAATAAAAATAAACAAAATAATGCCGTTTTTTAAGAATTAAAAATAATCTGATTTTGGATTTTGACAATGAACACATTGCAATCATGCTTGGGACGGCCCACATAAACGAGCAAAAATGCTTTACATGTCTTGAAATAATAATTTCTAAACATTAAACATT